CCCACAACTTTTTCCAAATTCCACACACACGCACAACACACACTCATGAACATGCAGTGAAAGTACAGCTGGGAAATGCCAAAAAAAGAACTGATAAAAGAGACAGCAAATCCACCCTTCCTCCAGTACAGGCAAAAATTCTCCCCATTCCCCACCCCTACTTGTTCTCTGCTCTTCTCTCCCGACCATTTAAGTTTACCAGAGGTTAAAAAATCTCAAAAAACAAAATTTAATCAGGCACATGTAAAAACAGCATTGGTATTCAGATATCCCACCTTCTTCATTCCCCTTTCAAAAATGGGGAACAGGCAGAGTGGGGCATCTGGTACTCCACTTTTTAAAAGCTCAAGGAATTTTTAAAACAATTTTTTTAAAATTCAAGTAGGCAGGAAGCCTCTGTAGATACCAAGGGGGTGCTGCTCCCCTCCTTGGTAGTGCCCTTTTGGGAATCTCAGCTTTAGAGAACAGAGTCTAAGATCTATAAATATAAATCAGGCTCATTATGCCAGACCTGGAGATTCAAGGCAGGAAAATAGTTTGCTATCCTGAATTTGAGGTACCAGTACATGCACCATACACATCAATGGAGGAATGACTGTAGACAGATCAGAAAGTACATGCAGAAAAGACAATGACAATCACATACCTACATTAGCACCTGCTATTTAGAAAAAGGTACAAAATTGTTCTGTGGATGCCCTGTGCTAATAATGTAATTGTCACTATCAGTACTTTCTCTATTTAATTTTCCTTTGATTTTAGTGTCTATAATCCTACAAGGAACCATATGTATTTTATACTAAGAAACTGACTTGGCAGTTTGGTGTTGGTATCTGTACTTTTGACTTGCATTCAAAAGAAGAAACAAATCGTCATATGCTTATAGATGATTGTAATTTATTCTTTTTAAAGGTTTTATTATTATCCTGTTTTGTAAAAACCTTTTTAAAGAATAAATTTGTTGTTGTGTACCTTCAAGTCTTTTGTGACTTATGGTGATCCTAAAGTGACCCTGTTATGGGGTTTTCTGAGGCTGAGAGTGTGTGACTCACCCAAGGTCACCCAATGGATTTCTATGTCATGTGGAGAATTGAATCCTGGTCTCCAGAGTCATAGTCCAACACTCAAACCACTACACTGTGCTGGCTCTCAAATGATAAATTACAACCATTTATAAATACATGAAAAATTGTTTCTTCCTTTGCCTGTGGATTCTGATAAATGCTTTCCAGTAACTGTTTGTGGTTTTGTACTTATGATTTGGACAAAACATAAGTTTCAGTAGTAGCATGTAATGTCCTTAAAGTTTGTTTCACACCAGATAGCATGCAAAATGAAGCAAAACCAACAGTTTCCTGGGGAACTCCTTCCCTCCATTTGCCACTTGGCTCTGAACATGCATAAAAATATTTAGGATAGCAACCTAATCTACATTTCAAGACTGTATTCCTACTGAGTGCTAGCAAAGAGTAACTTTCTGTTAGGACAAATGCTAAGGAGTGTAGCAAGAATGGAGGTAGTCCTGTTGAGGATATAGGACTTTACCCAAGCATCCGTCAGAATGGAACCTACCTTTACTCTGCCAAGAAACTGCTTGCATTCAGAGGTAGTCAAAATGTCCAATAAGAATACTTAAACGGCATCCTTATTGCAGAAATTATCCAGGTTGACACTACTTTAACTGCCATGGTTCAATGCAATGGAATTCTGGGTATTGTAGTTGGCTGTGGCACCAGAGCTCTCAGATAGAGAAGGTTAAATGTCTCACAAAACTATAATTCCCTGAATTCCATAACACTGAGCCACAGTTGATAAAGTGGTGTCAAACTATATTATTCCTGCAGTGCAGATGCAGCCTTAGAGAAAGTACATCTGCCAATACAAACTGGGAACTACAATGATTACATGCCCACAGAGGATTCTTGCTCAGGTCTGATAGAAAAATTACTTCATAATGTGGATTCTAGAGCAAATAAAATATACAGAAATCTGAATATTTTTTTTGAGAGATCAAAATAACTGGTCTGTTCCAAGACATTTTAAAATATAGTATAATAATAGTTTTCTTTATAGCCCACCCCTCTGCTCGGCAATCGGGGTGGGTTACAACATTTTAAACAAACAGAGTTAAAACATTCCCTTTTCCATAATCCACCCTCCCAGCCCCTTAAAACCAAGAAAAAATTAAAACATAACAATGCAATTAAAACTAAACCAA